TTTTTTTTTTTTTGGTGGGACCAGGGATTGAACTCAGGCCCTTGTGCTTGCCAGGGAAGCGCTTATTCCACTAAGCCATCTCCCTGCCCTCCTCCCTTTTTGAGACAGGGTTTTACTATGCAGTTCAGTCTGACCTTGGACTCACTGTGGAGCCCGGGCTCCAAATCTTGGCAGTCCTCCTGCCTCAGCCTCCTAAATCTAGGCTTACATGTGTGCACCATCATGCCCAATATTAGTGCATTTTTGTGAGAGAAAAAAAAAAAAGAATAATTGAGAACAGAGAAGGAAAACTCCCTGTCTTGTTTTACACTCCTTTTCAAAATTGATTACACAAGGGGCCAGGGAGATGGCTTGGTGGAATTAGCGCTTCCCTGGCAAGTGCAAGGGCCTGAGTTCAATCCCTGGTTCTAAAAAAAAAAAAAAAAAATTGATTACACAAATGAATGGGTTTGGTTTTGACAGATTTGCGCATGCACTGAACATGCTTGCTTGTGTTCAGTGCCCACCACCGTCTTGCTTCCCACTCCTCACCTCCTTCCTTCCTTCCTGAGCCGGGCAGATGGCTCAGTAGAATAAGCGCTTGCCTGGCAAGCGCAAGGGCCTGAGTTCAATCCTTGGTTCTGCCAAAAAGAAAATAAATAAACAAGTAAATAATAAAAGGTCTGTACTTCCTTTCTTCTTTTTTCTTTCATTTTTATTTATTGCAAAGTTCAGATTCTTAGTGATTCTCCTATCTCAACCTCCCCAGCACTGGGATTACAGGTGGGCACCACCACACTTGGTTTCAGGCTGGCACGGTGCACCCAAGGTTCTGGGGCAGCACAGCATGCGGTACCACGGATCGAGCCCAGGTCCTTGTGCTTGCCAGGCAGGCACTTAGACCGCTGAGCTATCTCCTCTTTCTGTTGGGAGTGGGGGAGGGAGAGAGGCTTCCTGCACCTATTTTCATGTCCATCCCTTTACCCGCTTCTTCTCTATCTTCTACCTTCTCACCTTTTTCAGATCACATCTATTAGAGGAACATGGAGTGTCTGTCAGAATTTTTTTTTCTCCGAATGCCTTCAGGGCAGGTTTGGCTGGCTTGAGTTGTGGGGATCAAACCACAGCAACCCGAGCCTGACTGCTTTGTGGAAGCAGCCACTTAAAGAACTGAGCTAAGGAGCAGG